TTTGGAACCACTGGGATTTGGAATGTGGAACCATTGGATTTTTTGGAACCATTTGGAACTTGGGATTTTCCTGGAACCATTTTGAGGTCTCCAAAAACGCAGCAGGGAGCGACTTCTTTGCAGGTCCCTCATCCTGCCTCAGCGCCTCGGTGGCATTCCTTACTGTTCCCAGGCATTTCAGGCCCATTTCCAGGTGCCAGGAGCTCTGCAATGGTTGTGATTTGATGGTGTTGGAGCCCAGCTGTAAAACGCTCTTCTTGGCTCCAGGAAAAGAGCCTGGCTGGGAGGGGAGGTCCTGCTGCTGCAGTGAAACTCAGGAGGAGCTGCACTTGTCTGGGGAGCAGGGAAACCCCAAGGGAATGATGAGAAGGGGCTGCTTTGGGGTTGTGGACTCGGCCATCGCTGCAGACCGCAGAAAGCCATGCCACACCAGCAATGTCTCTGGCTCTGGTGGAAAAGCCCCATTCGTTTCCACACCACACATCCCCAGGAGTGTTAGCTTTGTTCGGGAGATGCTCCAGTGTAATGCGCTGCTTTTGATGTCCTCAAAGTAAGGGGCCAAGAACAACACCTGTACAACAAGAAGTCAAACAGATGCAGAGGAGATGCAGTGGGACCCCATGGCTGCCAGTCCTCATCCTCAGCATCACCACATGTGCTCCAAACGGCCCCGAGCTCCGCACTGGGGCAGCTCAGTCCCCTTTCTTTCCACACACCAGGACACCATGTGCAAAACCCCAAAATCCTCTCATGTGTGACATGTGAGCACAAAGAGAGCCCCTGGGCACTGCAGTGCTGTGGTTTGAGCAGCGATGGGTGGCAAGGCTCAGTGCGCAGCACTGCATGCTGCAGCGCCCCCAGCACAACCCCCAGGGCTGCTTTGGTGGGGACAGCTGGGCAGCTGCCCTCCTTCTGTCCTCACTGCCCACCACGAGCTCAGGGAAAGGTCAGAGAGGAGGGAACTGCTGCCATCCTCACGAGCGCCGTGGTCCCTCGTCAGCTGCTGAAAGCTGTGCTAATAGGCACCGAGGGATGGGGCCTCGTGATACAGACAGCTGCAGTGCCTATGTTTAGGGGAGAATTGCTGAGGAGGTCACTGAGAAAGGCAGGGGGGCAGTTATGGACCCACGGTGGGATGAGGGAGAGGAGGGGGCTGGGTGGGGATTGGGGAGAGGGGGAAGAGATGTGCCTGCTTCTCCCTGTCCAACTCTATTTCATGGACAATGGGTGAAATCACTTCCCCCCAGCTTGAGTCTGTTTGCTCTGTGGCACTTTGTAGGTGAGCTCCAGTGAGACAACAGGGAACGGCAACACGGGCAGCGAACGAGGAAGAAGGTGAACATCTACAGACAGGTTAAGAAGAGGCTAAATCCATCCAACTGGGAGCCTTGTGGATATTAAAAGAGATGTATCCGAATACTTTTCTTAGCCAGCAGCTGCACTGGAGGAATTGGAGACTTTTCTGGGGAGACAAAAGAGTGGAACATCATAGGCTGATGCTTGAGCAACGGCCACTTGGAACAGCCCAAAAACTACACTAAGGCTTAAAATCATTAAATCTAGATCCAGGTACTGTGCAGTACATTTCAGCAGGTAAATGAAGAAATAGATCAGTCTACAAGATCACTATTACGTGCAGAACAGGTGAAAATACCCATGACAGTAATTGCTCTCTTGTCTTGGTTGCCACAAGTAACTTCTCCCAGGCATTGTCGCCAGGATGCTCAGTTTTATGGCTGTGCTAAGAATAAGGACTAAGAATATCAGGATGTGCAACTGAAAAGATCCTTCAGGGCCATTTCAGATCTGATTGCAACAGGAGCTGGTGGATCTGGGTGGTGAACAAGGGCACAGGAGAACACAGAGCCGTGAGCTTCCCTTCCCTTCCCTTCCCTTCCCTTCCCTTCCCTTCCCTTCCCTTCCCTTCCACTTTTTTCTTTTCCTTTTTTTCCTTCCTTTTTCTTTCTCCCTCTCTCCCTTCCTTCTTCCTTTCCTTCCCCTTTTTTTGCTCCTGCTACAAATATCTTGTGATCACTGCTGATAAGGGTAGTAGATATGGGTTTTTCCCCCCCCCATCCTTCCATAACGTTTTGTCCCCCATTTCCCATGACCCACACTTAACCCACTGCTCTGCCTGCAAGGGCTGCACAGGACATGCAAGGATCCCTCTGTCAGCTGAAGGCCTGGAGACACATTTCTCACATTGCTTGCTATCCCCACCAGGCAGTGAGCCAGAGGGCAGCATGCAGCACAGGGCAGAGTGTTTCCTCCAGGCTTTGTTTCCAGCCTGCCATTCCCAGCCACGAATCGCATACATGGAAATGTCAGATTGCTGCTGCAGAGCTTTGTTCTTAGCACCATAACTCAGACCTTGCAGTGCTCTGACGGGATGATTTGGACCCGTGATGTTTCTCATTTCTCACGTTCTTTCACCTGCAAGTTTCAGCAAGGGGTTGCAGTTTTCCCTGGGTGTCATCTCCCATGTAAGCAGGTGATTTTGATCTCAGACGTATCCCTGTAATACAGATGTACATCCCGATCACTGCGGCCAGCGCAGCCACGTTCCATCCCCTCTCCCACAAGCCTCCTCTATTCTCAAACAGCAGAACAGGTGGGCAGCTCTCCTGCTCAGAGAACTCTCTTCAATCTGCTTTTGGAGTTTCCCAGATTGCTCTGATGCCCGCGGGACCCACCAGGCTCTTTCCACACCTGCTGAGGGCGGTGACGTCCTTGCATGTTGTTCTCTGCCATCGTTGAGAGGTCCTACAGATAGAAGGAGGCTTTTGGTGACTTGACAAACACAAATGTGGTTTTAAAAAAGCCCAACAGGTCAGCGAGGGAACAACAGCTTGGTCTTCAGCACCTGGAAAAATCCCAGAGCAAGACCTCCCAGAGCACATTTCTGGGTGTTAAGTGGACAAGTTGATTTGGAGCAGACCATGGATTTGTTAAGGCTATGAAATACCTCATCAACTTGTTGGCTCTCTCCCAAAGCGTGATTGGATCTGTGGGGAAAGGAAAAACAGTGGATGCTGTTCACCCCAAAAACTCCAGCTGCTATAAGAATGCCCAGCCCTCCCCTGCCTGTTCCAGAACCCTTTTCTCTCCCCCAGAATATCACTGATACCCCACAAGAACTCCCCAGGGTTCCCCCACATCTCCATGTACCCTTTGGGAAACTCCAGGAAGCCAAGACCTCTGAGGATCCTCCCCAGCCTGACCTCCCATCTACCCCAAAACCTTGGCACTCCAGGACTCTCCTTTTCCCTCATGATCCCCCACGAACTCCAAGACGGCTGTCGATCCCAGGCCCAATGAACATAGGCACCCAGAGCCCTTATGTCCCCCCCGTGGACTCCAGAATGCAGGCAGCCCTGGTCCCCACCATCACCCACCCAGGACACTCAGCTCTCCAGTCTTTGCTCTCCTGTCACTTGTGAGAGAACCATCCGAACGTCTGGGTTCCCCAGCAGAACAAAAGAGACCCAGACAGGCATTTCAGGAGCCTCTTTTATTCAGTAAAAGGATGTGGGGGAACTGGGAGATCCTCAGCTCCCACTGAAGGGCTTGGGGTGGCGGGGCAACATCGTGAGCATTCCTGAAGGTACATGTGGTGGTGTGCAGTGTGGTCTTTGTGCCCCACAGTGTAGGGGACTCCCTGGGGAGGAACCTGGGGAAAATTCTGCCCCACAGAGGTGCCCACTGGATGCCCAGTATGGAGTACAGAGCTTCAAATGACCCCTAAGTGTTACAGAGGGCATCAGGTGATCTCGAGGAGTCCTCGAGGCAATTGGGGCCACGTAGTGCTTGGGGGACAGTGAGGACACACACCTGGAGGTCAGTATAGGCATGGGGCAAAGTGCCCCGGGTGATCCAGCGCCGGGCGCCCGGCTGGTAGGCATGGATCAGGTGGGTGTCCCGGTACGTTTCATGGCTGTACCCTCCAAGAACAAGCAGCTCCCCCCCCAGCACAGCTGCACCCCCCACTACATGGGCGTGGGGCAAAGGGCTGAGGAGGACCCAGATATCTAGCTTGGGGCTGTAGACTTCAAAGGCCAGCTGGTCCCTGTAGCCAGTCTGCCCGTCCCGCTGGCACAGCCCCCCGGCCACATAGAGCTGCCCACCCGCCTCCTCCATGATGTGGCCAGCTCTCTGGCCATTCATAGGGGCCAGGAGTGTGGCTGGTGCACCTGGGATGTAGCGCAGAAGGGCTGTCTGGCACTGGTACGCCTCATCACACCCCCCTGACACATAGAGGGCACCATCCAGGGCACACGCTGCGTGTCCACACAGAGCCATTGGCAGGGACTGGCACCTCCTGGGGGAGAAAAGAGAGATGGGTGAAGAGCAGGTAAAGCAGGGCAACCCCACGGCGACTGCCTGCCCAGCAGACCCCTGCTGGCACTGCCAGCCATGGATCCACTGAGCACTCAGCAGGCTACACCCAGTGAGCCCCAGTAGAACCCCCCAGTGGGAGCACTGGCCAACACCCAATGGATCACCCAAGAAACAGCTGGAAGACATTTAAGTGATTCCTCTCATTAGCAGAGCCAACAGACCCTCACAAATACAACCAGCCAACTCATTCACTACCCAACAGGCATGACAGCCCAACTGTGACTCCTGTTCTGGAGTGTCAGCAGCACAAAGAGCACTCATGGGGACCATGACCAATGCCAGGAGCTGCTACAGCAGGAGAAAGCAGGTATCCAAGTGGAGAGGTCTCACCTCCAGGTGTCAGAGGCCACGTTGTAACACTCCACAGTGTCCGTGCAGTAGAGATCACCCGAGCTGCCCCCCAGGGCATAGATGGAGCCATCAAGCGCCACAGCAGCAAAGTAGCTTCGCCCGCAGGTCATGCTGGCCAGGCGCTCCCAGGAATTGTCCATGGGCTGATACCTGGGGTTGAGGGGGAAAGGGAGCAAGAGGCTAGCTGCTATCCACAGTGGCACGAAGTGATGTCAGCACTGCTGAGAGCAACAACCCACCCACAGGCAGCCAATCGTTCAATGCCCTGGGGCTCCACGGTCCCCTTGCACAGGAATATCTTTTTCTTGGCAACACCAATGCCATAATGGCAGCCCCAAGAGGGGCCCTCCCTGCCCAATCCCCTACAAAAACCCCACAGCATTCCAGGGCAGGAGGCTGCACAGGGGCACAGACACCCCAGGCCAGCAGACAACCGGAGCATCTCGAGCCACATGCAGCAGCTCCCCAGGTCCTTGCAGCAGCTCTCCCTCCCCCAGTACTTCCTCCAGCCCCATGCAGCCCTCACCTGTAGACACTGGCCAGGGTGTCACGGATCCCATAGTAGCACTTTCCACCCAGGACGTAGAGGGTGTTTCCTACCACAGCCACAGCATGGCGAAAGCGCGGACCGTCAGGAAAGTTCCCCAATGCCCTCCACTCCACGTGCTTCACCAGCCCCACAGCACTGAGGTAGCGGTGGGCAAACCAGAGGTTCCTGCTGGGCTTCCGGGCAGCCATGTTCGGCGTCAGTTTGTCTCCTCCACAAACCACCAGCACCTCTTGCAAGGAGCGCACCCGGCACGGCAGCTGGACCATGGGGGACAAACTCTCAACCACCAGCTGGCGGAGGAGCCCTGGGTCCACCACCCCCGCCGTCACCGATGGGATCTTCTTCAGCTCCTGGCCAGACATGAGGGCAAAGCGAACGGACGACAGAACTTCCTTGGTTAGGTCCTCTTTGCCATCCCCATTGGCCTTCAGCCACCGGGATGCCGCCTCCAAAGCCTCCAGTTCGTGGAGGACGTTAAGACCGTCAGAGCGGAGGAGGCGGATCAGAAGGTGGGCAGGAAGATCCAGGAAGGTTGGAGTGGCCACTACAGTAGGGAAGGTGGCCAAGATGTAGTCCTCCGCTGCGCGGCTCACCTGGACCAGCCCGTAAGCCACTGCAAAGGCCAGCACATCCAGGCCGATTTCCGGGGTCAGGCCGTGGGTGAAAACATCCAGGCAGAGGGTGAGGAGCCCCCAGGCCTGGTAGCGCAGGGAGGTCTCGGCTGCCTCCAGGACCGTGGACCACGGCCCGACCACGGCCCCTGTGTAGGCGAAGGAGAGGAGGAGGCGCAGCTCTGAGGGGGTCAGTCCTGTGCTCAGCGGGGCTGTGGGGTCGTGGGTCGACTCCCGCATGGGGCAAGTGAAGAGAGCCCGGAAGAAGTCACAGGAGCAGCTCAGGGCCAGCCGCTGAACTAGGAGAAAGGAGGAAAAAGGATGGGAGCTGCAGGAGGACCCGGTGCCTAAGTGACCTTCAGACACTGATCCCTCCCTCCATCCCCACAGGACCAGTGCAGGACACCTCCTGCTCCATCCCTGCTTGGAAGCACTGCCCCTCTGTCCCCCTTTTCCCCCCCCAAGGGACCCAACATACACCATTCCCACTCCTCCAAGGGACCCCCACCCAGCTCACCTGGGATGACCTCATCCCCTGCCTGCAGCTGGAGGTCACAACCCAGGCCGCTGGCGTTCAGCTGCTCCATGGCTCTTAATGTCTCCCACTGCTCCTCCAGGGCCTCAGGACCCCCTTCTTGGTGGTCGCTCTCTGTCCGGGATGCGCAGGCAGCCACCACCCGTGGAGCCCCCAGGACACGAGCAGACTCTTCCACCTCCCTCTCCCTGCCGTGGGGCACAGTTCCCTCATAGGCAAAGGCCAGGAGGGCCCGCCAGCCCCACAGTGTGGCCCCTGGTGGCAGGGGGACATGAGATGGGGGTCCCCGGCGCATCTCTCGGGTCCTGTCCTCCAGGAAACACAGGAAGAAGGAGCTGACGGAGGCTAAGACCACAGCGTGAGCCACGTCACCCTCGGGGCCCACGGCCACATCCACCAGCTGTCCCGCAGTGCGGAGGTCATTGGCCGTGGTCAGGAAGTGTCTGGCGTGGGCCCCGTCCCGCAGGTGCCACTGGGCTGGGGCCGGCCCCTCTGTGACCCACATCTTGCCTGTGGGAACACGTGGAGTGAGGTCAGGTTGTCATCCCCACAGCCAGGTTGTCCTGGGTGCTGCTGTTGGCACTGCCCGATGGCAAAAGACACCGGACCCATTGCCAAGGGCTCGAGACCACCACACTCTGCTGCTGCCCCACAGCTGAATTTGACGCCTCTTGCCAAGACAGATGAGACCTGCGGGCTTTTCCCCGTTCCTTAGCTGAGCTGGATGCCCCCCACCTGCCTCAGTGCTCAACCCTCTGCTGCACAGCACGGGATGAAATCATAGGCACGCAGCCAATCCGCCTGAAAGCCACAGCCCCACAGCCCAGCGTCCCACATCATCCCTTCCCCCCATCTGCTCCCCACGCTCACAACCACCTCTGCTCCTCCACCACCACCACCACCGCCAGCCCAGCTCCCCACAGAGCCACCATTCCATCCCATTGGTGCCACGCACCACGCATGGCGGTCGCTCTGCCCCGCGCTGACCCTGCCGTGCTCGCCCCGCTCCGTGCCCCATCCCCGTCCCCATCAGCGCTTGCAGCCCCACACACTGCGCAGTGCTGTGTCCTCCGTGTGCCACGTCCTGCACTGCTGTGCTGCGCACTGCGCCGCGGCCGCGCACTCATCCCACCTTATTGCCCGCTGCAGCTCTGGGACGCTCCTGTGACCCCCCAGGAATGTGTGTGGGTAATTATAGCCCAGCCTGGACACGTGGCTGTGGCACTGGAGCTGGGACAGGCCTGCAGGGAGGGCCGTGACCCCGGTGCCCCGGACGGGGCGGTCAGACAGCAGGGTTCCCTGAGGACGGCGGTGGGAGGACAGCGCTGGGATTTTTCCCTCGGGCTGCAGGCAGTGCCAGAACCCCACGCCGTCCCATCCCCGCTGCCTCCCGGCCCCGCAACCCTATTTCCCCATCTCCAAGAACTCATATCCCCATCCCAAACTTCCCTTTATCCTCGTATTTCCACATCTGGCTGAATTTTGTGTCCCCAAAAGCTACCGTTTCCTAGCTGCTCCGGCTCCATTTTCCAGTGATCAATCCCAACTACAAGATCTTCTTCTTTCTCTTTATACCTAGGCACAATTTCCCGTTCTGTAACCCATGCTTATCACCTTCCATGCTTTCACCCTGCACCTGAACAATTCCTCTTAACCACAAACTTATGAAAACATCCCATCGCCTCTTCAGGATTCCCTTCTCCAGGATGAACCACAGCGCACTCAGCCTCCCCTCACGCCTCCTGTCTGCATCCCAGCTCAATCCTATCAACACGGGGATGATGTGCACACTGCTGACAGCCCATTTGACAGTATTTTTTATTACACAGCGTTTCATTACACACAGCACTCAAGATCCAGCTTGCAGGGTGGAATGGGACATTTACAGCTTGGGAGGCCCCGTTAGCCTCCAGCCTTCCTTATTTCCTATCTTCATTAATGCAGCAGTAGTTCCAAAGCCCAAACAAGCGACGGTTCCGGTCATGTAACTGTGAGCTAGAAAAAAACAAGCAGTAAGAAGGATCTCTTAGAAACAGAGCAGATCAGGATGGAGTCCACGTGCTCCCTGACCATAAGTACCATTGTCTACAGAAATCCGAAGTGTATTTATTTCCAAGTCCTCTCTCACGCTTTCTGCCCACAATTTGGGACATAACCATCCATAACCCATTGCCCCGATTCGTTATACAGGGAAACCCTAATTGCTTACCTCAGCAACCACAACAATCACCACTTCAAACTCTCAGCTCAGCAACCAGGGAAAGAGAAACCTGATTTTACCACAATTGGAACTTAAAAATAAAATCTCATCCTTTACCACTGAGTCTGCAAATGCCTGCAGAAAGCAGAGCTGTATCAGTGTCTGCAGGACTTAATCTAGCCTGGAAACGTCATGGAAGCGACAGCTGAAAGACACGGCCTGGCCCTCAGATTGCAAGAGGAACTCACAGCACTGAATGTGACAGATCGCATTTTCCACGTATAATAAATCACATTTGTTGCCAAGATGACACAGATTGCCACAACAACATTTGTAATATCCCGCCATTTCAAATTATCAGCAGTTATAATGGGCAGTGCTGGCTCAGCTCTGTCCTCTGCTATAAATCTCCTCCATGTCAGCCCCGGTCTCCCCCTGCAGCACTATTTATTGAGCAGAGCTCTACCACAGAGCGTCAGCAAAACGAAATGGAATTCACACACAGAGATGAAGAATTAAGCCACCAGATCAGCCTGACACCGCGGTGCTTTTACTGCCTTCCCTAAGGAAGGTTCAGGACAACAGAGCAGGCTCGTTTTGTCGCCCACTCCAGGCACCACCCACATTTACCTCTGGCTCCTATGAGAGCTCCTGTGGTGCAGCCCCCAATGAAATAGTCCAAGGGGCTCTCGGGCTCCTCCCGCACCTGGGCACTGAGGCAGGTGGTCACCCCGAACACGGCGCCCAGCGTGGCTGTGAACAGAAGGCAGAGAAACTCAGCAAAAGCTCTGGGCAGCCTGGGCTGTGGTTGGCCCTGCACAAACCCAGGCCGTTCCACCATTCCGTGATTCTCTTCAGGCAAAGCGCGCTGCTGGGAGGCACGGAGCCACAAGCAGATCCTCTGGGAAGAAAGAAGAAAACGAAGCCGCTCTGGTTTACCACATGGATTTCTGATGAGAGATGTGACACAGGCGCCATCTCCAGAGCCCAATTCACCTTTCTTGGGAACAACACCGACCCAGAAACGTCCACAATGAAGTCAATACAATAACAGATAAAGTACAAGCCCATGTTACAAAGCTCTGCAGTTTTCCAGCACGAAATGTGATTATGCTGAGCTAAAAAGAGCACTCAGGAAACAGAGCCCTTGGACCACAGCCCCTCAGCTCCCTGCTTTCTCTGCTCTGGAGAAAGGAAAAACCCCACAGGGATTCAGCTGCTCAGGCTCTGCCTCCCCAGTATGCAGTTATCCTCAGATGTGACGCAGTAGGAGGACTCAGTGTGCTGGTTTGGGATTACAAGGTTTATCCAAGCAATAATTGGTGATGTGATCTGGGCTGTTACAATGAGCTCAAATCACTACTGAAGAGCTGTGCAGGCACCTGCAGACCTGGGTCACGTGCAGATTGGCTTCTGGTTCAGTGCAGAGCTGCTGGGGGACAGACAGAGGTGGCACAGGCGTTGAATGAGACTGAAAACTGAGGTGAGTTTGATGAAAACTGTGTGTGCCAGGGGCTGAGGGCTCCACCGTGCAGCTGAACAGCCCTTGGGTTGCTGCTTCATCCTCCAGCATCCTTGCCCTTGCAGGCTATAATAACTACATTGCTTCTTCTTGTCAAGAAGCAGCCAATGAACAATGAGGACAAACACTGATTTTCCTTTTGCTGTCACAAGCAGTCTTTGCTCTTCAAAACATCATTTGTGTGTGATGCTTAACTGACATGAAGTAGAGAAGCAAGGTACGTTTGCTTCCATTACGCTTTTGTCCAGCAGCAGAACATCTACACGTGTATGTAAGCACAGCAGTACATGTGAGCACTGAACACACGCACCTTCTCCTCCAGGCTGCACAAAAAGCATCCTTCAACACAGCACACAGCCCATGTCCTCATCCCGGTTCTGCAGCACTCAGCACAGGACGCTCCTTCCGCCCTGTTGGGGCCTCAGGCACTGAAAGCAGCAGCTTCGAACGCTGCCACGGCCGCTATGCAGCGCTCCGGAGGTGCACAGAAAGGCATCCAAAGGGGACGGGGCTGCGGCAGGGCGGGGAGGAGGGGAAGGGCTGTGAATTACGGGAGGGGACACCGGGGGAACGGAAACGGGACCGCGCAGGGCGGAGGGGCGCGGAGCCGCGCGGGGGCAGACGGCCTCTGGGGCACGCGCTGGGGTCGCCGCAGCCGGCTTACCCATGGTCACGGTGTCCGACGCCGCCATCTGCAGCGCGGCGAGCGCGGAGCCGGGCCGGAGCAGGATGATGCGGTACGCCGAGCCGAGCAGGCCTGCAAGCAGAGCGGGGCCGTCAGCGGGAGCGGGGCCGTGCGGGACCGCCGCCCGCCGCCCCCCGGCCCTGAGCGGCTCTCAGCGGCCCTCACCGGCGGCGGCGCCCACCCGCGCGGTCAGCCAGGTGCGCTGCGGGCACTGCTCGCCCTCGGGGCCGTCCCAGTACCCCGCCATGCCGCCGCAAGGGCACGGGCACGGCCGCGCTCTCGCGAGATGATCGCGGCGAGACTCTCGCGAGATCGAAACGCGCCTCACGCGAGATCGGCGCCCGCCGGGTCGGTGCTCCCCCCACGTGCTGCCCTGGCGCCGTGCCGCTGCTGCGCGGGGCGGTTCCTCATCGCCGCAACGAGCGCGGGGCGTGCGGGCA